AGTATTGGAACTTAGTTTCGTCTATTCTAGTAATTTTATATTCCAATAACTACCTATTACGAAATTCTATTAATTTTTTTACTTTTATTTTATAGATGTCAAGATACATGAGCTACAAAAAGCTATAAGGCCTATATGATTACTTTAATTATTTTGTGTTTTGTCGTAGTTCTAAGTACCGTTCGAAACACATGTTAGTAGCTGTGTTTGTAATACAAATTAAGCACAGCAAGAAGAGATGTAGTTGAAGTATAATCTGGATGATGTTATTACATTAAAGACCAACATAATTGCGCGCTCACCTATTAGACGATAGGACGTCATTTTCACATGTTTAAATTTCCAACGCTGGCGTACATATTATAAAAGTAAAGTGTACAAATAGTGCTAGTAATGTTTCAAAATATATTCCACATACTGAAAATATTATTCAGCTTAAATCAGTTTCTTTTTTATAAAGTTTCTCTTTATGATCATACTTCCTATCCATCTCTACTACAAGGTGTAATGTAGTAAATATATGTAAAATAACTTAAGAATTCATGATAAGTGGAAACCCAAGATACACAACAAATCCGCCAAATGTACCACAACCTCCATAAAAAATCAGATAGATAATAAGTTTTATGTTCCTGAATTTCTAAAGGTATCATGATATGTATGTATGCCCATAACTTAATAAATTGTATCCTGAACCTATATGTTGTTAGTATATCTTTAACTATACAATGGGTTACTTTTTGTGTTCCTGGAATGTAAAGAACGGGTGATGATACGGAGTAAATTTCCCTACTGACGAAGTAAACCAGTGTGCATCAAAAACAATATAAGTTATTTCCCTTGTATTTCAGTCTTCACAACTATCACCTACCTACAACAGGGGTCGGCAACCTTTTGGGACGGAAGAGCCAAAAGTTACAATTTACCAAATATCCCAGTGTTTAAAGAGCCACTAACATTTTTATTTCAGTCTTATGATATTTATTGATTAGGATTATATATATATATATATATATATATATATATATATATATATATATATATATATATATATATATATATATATATATATATATATATATATATATGAAATAATATTTATTCAAATAAGAACATAACATGTTTCGCAGAAAAAGTATTAAAGTATTTTATCTAGCTCTGCTAGAATAATAAAATCAGTAATCAAAGTATATAACTTTAATTATTGAATATTGAATACTATTTACAACAGTTTCGCCTTGCATGCCTTTTGAAAATTTGTTTAAACCTGGCTCATAACTTTTTTTCAATTTCAAGCATGCCTCTAGATTTTTATTTGTTAGTTGGCTCTTATGCTTTGTATTATATGCATGCAAGAAAACGCTTGCTCACATGAATATGTTGACCCGAAGATCGTCAGCACTCCAAATACCAACTTCTTCACCTCACTGTGGCATCCTAAAAGACTATTCCATGCGTCACATAATAGGGCCTTAACTCGCGACATTTCTTTTAGAGTTGTCCAGTTGTGCAGTGAAACGTGCATGTTTTACTGGACCTCCAAATCATCTAACTTGCTCTTGAGAGCTGTGTTTTATTATGATAATTTTTTTTCAGATTTTTCGAAATAAATTAATTTACCGCTCTCCGTGTCTTCAACAAAATGAAATAATTTGTTTTCGAAACAATCATCTTCTTCAAGCAAGTCATAGGCTGGGTTTTCCTTTCCATGCAGTTTAGCATTTAGCTCGTTTATTTTATTTGTGATATCCACAATGAAGTTGAATGATTCAATTTGGGATAAAAGCGTTAATAGGAAATACATTGAAATATGACCTTACTAAATATTCTAATGGAATAGCGAGTGTTTATTGTTTATATTTATTATTATATCGTTCATTACCGACTGTTGCAGAACAATATTTTTATGAGTTTTAAAAATAAAATAAAATAATTATTAATATTTGTGCATGGAGCTGAAGAGCCGCATATTGACATCAAAAGAGCCGCATGCGGCTCGCGAGCCGCAGGTTGCCGACCCCTGACCTACAACAATGTTGAGAAATTAAAATGTGTTTACCTCCGTGTTTAAGTATAAGTTAACTACACCAGTATATACGACAGAAAGGAAAATATATGTACTTTTCATAGACTATACGAAAACTACTTATCAATTAGGGAAAAACGATATAGTGTAGTTTCTGTTGTGATAACTTAATTAAACGTGTATTTAATTTACCAGTGTTGTTTATTTTTACTCACTTAACTAGCCAAGCAATTCTTAACTCTCGTGTAGAACTGTGTTTAAAATTGATCAGGTTGTAATACTTCAAATCAAACACTCATTAAACTAACGAGTTAAGACACCCATGTTATAAGAACACATTCAAATGTTTAACAAATTAAAATGGTCATTTACTCTTCTGAAGCCTATGAGGCTGTGGTATTTCTACAGTATAAGAGCACAGATCTAAAAGCCATTTGTATAATAAAATAGAAGATCCCCATATTAAATTAACATACACTACATTTTTTTTCTAGTGCAGTTCTTCTCAGTCTTTCTGTTTCTCTTAATCTAATAATGTTGAGCTAGCGAATAGCTGAATAAACATAATGCATCATAAATGATAAATAAGCAGTAGGCGCGCAGCGAAACAAAAAGCGATGAAGTTTGTATTCACAAGCAGACTGTAGTAACTTACCTAATGCGAAACAAAATAACGAATATTTAAAACCCAACCCATATCTTTTTGACCTAGTCTCTGTATTAGAATATTAACAATAAAGTTCATTTTTATGCATTCGTTCAAACAAAGAAAATATTTCTATTAAAAAAAAAAAAAAAAAAAAATCTGTTGCTCTGTGTTATAAAAAAAATTGTCGGTTGAGGCAAAATCTAATCTAGCACGCAGCTCTATAAATAAATTGGCCTAGTTATGAAACAGATTTAGTCCTATCCGGTTTTGTTTGGTGCAGGAAGCCGGCTCCATCTCATTAGGTCACGAAGGAAAATCGATCAGTTATCGAACTCAAGCATTACTCAAAGCAGATGATTAATTGGTTGGTTTATTTTTTTTTTTTTTTTTGGAGTTTATTTTTTAAGTATAATTTCTGCGGGACTGCTAATTCATGTTTAGCTTGCTAATTTCACCTACCTGTTGATTATAACTAAACTGTGTCATGTCGTAATGAGCAGTGCCATTAAAGCTACTTGATATACAGTTGTTATAATTTAAACATTAATTTTATCGGAATAATAACTAATATAAAATCAGCGACAGGCAGTTAATTTTATGACGGCAACAATCGATGTTTTATTTTCGGCGTTATTGAGTTTTTTTTTTTTAAATTCTACCTGGTGCCATTTGACTTTCTTTGATTTCAGTTCCAGTGCTATTTTTAGACGCTTTTTACAGACTACCTCAATGAACCATGATTGTTTAGGTTAGGGTCTGTGCTTTTGGTTAGGGTTAATTTGTCCTGATGAAGTTTTGAAATTCAATTTCAAATAATTTTTATAAATCGTGTTTGCAGGCCATTAGAACAGCATTACATTGGCATATGCGTTAAAATTGTATGCAGTCAAAGACGAAGCTGTAAATTAATTGTTTGGTGATGTCATTAAATAGAGCCAGAGAGGTATAACAAAATATGGTTCGGTAACCGATCCTGCGCCTTTTGTGTGCAAACATGAAAGTCAATAGTTCAGAACACTTGCAGGACGCTGAGTGATACAGCACAATGCTTTATGAGAACCAAAAAATATACCATTTGAGTGATGGGTTAGTTACTTTATGTAGGAGGTTTTTATCATTGAGATTGATTGTTTTTAACGTGATTCCAATTATTGATAACGTTAGCTGTTATCTTAATGCATAGAGCTGTTACAATTAACCTTCCCATTTCCATTACTTTAACATTAATCTTAAATCTGACCAAATCTAGAAAACAACCCAACGATTAACCTAACATAACAAAAACAAAAAACATACCGTAACCTTAATGTACTAACCTACTAAATGTATACGTTGTAATACATTGTGTGGATATGTTCACACGAGAAAAATGGCCCGTTGAGGAAGGATACACCGGGCGCTAGGCTGATAGTGCTGTCTCTTTTCTCTAAACTAAAACCACCCCCCCCCCACCCCCCACCCCCACACACCCCCACCCACCCCCCACCCCCACACACACCACTCCCCACCCCCCCACCCCCACACACACCACTCCCCACCCCCCACCCCCACACACACCACCCCCCACCCACCCACACACCCCCCCACACCCCCCACCCCCCCCCCCCCTAAAAAACATGTCTACCGTCCCATTCAACGAAATATAATCATTTACTTTTTCCAGTTTCCGCCCCCTCCCCGAAAATTCTACCCCCGCCCCCGAAAATTTCAAGTACCCTCACCCCTCTCCGTGGAGGAAAAAGTCTGAAAGAAACACTGGTGTCGCGCATAGCCACTACGCGAAGAATTGCATTAAAGAAATTGCAAGAAAACCACTTTTTAGATTAGACACATTAATTAGGCGGTAATTTTATTATAGAGTATCGATGAGGAGAGTTGGGGAGAGGGGGGGGGGCTCAGACGTTCTTACGCGGGGGTGGGGCTTCGCCCCTACCCGAAGAATTGTATGAAAGAAACTTCACGCAAACCACTTAGATTAGACCAAATTAGACCAAATCAATGACGTCATATCAATGTGTGCACTATCCGGCTTGAGATTATTTTCTACTCTGTGCGCTAAATGTGTCGACGTCATACTTCGTTTTTCGAATTACTATGCATGTTTTTATTTTCCTTGTGTTTTCTCTAGAGCGTTCTTGTCAGACAGATAGATAGATAGATAGATAGATAGACAGACAGCGAAACTATTAGTATTAATAAAATACACTTTACTTAGGTTAATTTACCATTACATAACGCAACAGTTCATTGGATAAAAACGTGTCGCAAACACCAGAAAACCATGGCAACCCCACACAAATCACTACCACCCTTCACGCTGTCTACCTTTCAGACGAGCCGCGTCCATTGAAGTAGTGACATCAGCATTAGACACGCTCATCATTAACTCACCACTTTCATCGAACCATACCTCCATGTTTTCACCTGCATATTCGTGCTTCCTTTGACCAACAATAACTAGAGATCCCGGTCGATACTTTTACTCTTCAAATTAAAATATTGTTACACTGTTTATTGATTTTTCGGGTATTTTTTTTATCTCATGTTTTTCCCCTCGGGGTTTTTCGTTAAGAGATGGTAATGAACAATATCCGAAGATTACCGCAGGTTTTGGTAAACGTAAAAGTTTGTAGTGGGTAAACTACGAATATACTTTGTCTTTTTTGTGTTATTAGTATTATTAAGGTATTAGTGTTAAGGTAATATTTGGGTATAAACTAAATTTCTAGAAAACTAGCACTTAGTATGAAGTTATTGTTGATACTTTAAAGCCGAAATTACACGCAATTTCACAATTTTAACAGTTTGTGTGTTAAGTATAAAACTATTTTTTATTCTGCATGTTTTGTACACTGTAAAAAATTAACGTTTTTTTCTTGTAAATTACTGTATTTTTTTACAGTAATTTACAGTATTTTTAAAAAACGGTAGCATCTCGTGAATATGACTAGTCGAATCCCGTTTACCGTTAAAATACGCTAGTCCTATCGCGTAGCCTGTCATAACCTTCATTGCGGGAGAGTGACTAAAATTAGATAAGCCAGAAACGCCTCGCGTGATTTCAATTATTAACAACAAATAAATATTTTATCTTTAATTTTAAAATATCTGCAAATTATTTTAACTGAACATCAAATTAAACAGTATTATTGAAGAGTTAAGAATATTTTATTTACATGAAAACAAAATTAAAAACCCCAAAAGTAATTAAAAATTAGCAAGTTTATTTCCGTTTCCGACGAAGTCAGCCTACTTGTGTTTGTCAAAGCGCCATTTTGACATCTCTACTCTCGGCTAACTTCGATTGTTCATCTAAGGAAATCTATTCTACGACATTATCATCTGCATTTTATTTCAACTTCATCGCATTACTACATTCAAGGGAAACTAGACCTGGTATGTTATAATTGTTTCTTATCTTTAAATTTAATAAAAAGAAGTGTGACTTCAGTAACGAATTTTTCACTAGATCTAGATCTAGATCTAGCTCTAGAATCTAGATTTATCTAGATCTAGAATCTAGTCGTTTTTAACTTGTTAAACAATAAACCGTACTTTAACACTAGATCTAGATCTATATCTAATCTATAAAGTACAAGAAAATCTGTGATACTTTTTTTTTTTAATTTTGTGAAGGAATTTGTTCTCATTTATCTTGTCTACAGTTTCTTGTTCATTTTTTTTGTCGGTTTTGAATTTGACTGTTTATATTATAGACCATCTCAACATGGAGTTGATGGAGGCCATTGGAGAATCAATCAAAGCTGCTTTGTCTTTAACTGATGAGGATACCCTTACAAAGATTAAAGATCTCTTGACACAAATTGGAGTTACATGTTTGGCTGACCTGATTCTTGTGAAAGAGGGTGACTTGACACCTGTGCTGAAAATCATCCGGGCCCGGAAACTAATCAGCTTCTGGCAAACGACTGAAGGTAATGCATTTTCTTATTTATTTATAATTAAAAGATTATCACAGTGATTTTAATATAAATTTAATAAAGTTAACTGGACAAACATTCAAATGCATTTCCTTTATTTGGGCCTTCCCAATCTTTATTTAATGTTTAAATGTTCAAATTATTTTGGGAAATAAATGAATAATTTAGATTACCAACGTTTGTCCTGCCTAGGTGTTATAACAACGATAAAATATTTTTAGGGTTTTTTGCCATTATTGATTCCTCTGCATTTTTCTTTTTTTTTTAGCTATTGTTCTTACATACACTTTAATGTTATTTTCCTTTCTTGTTATTACTTAAGATAATTTTTTCTATGGATTATCTTTTTTATACTTTCATTTTTAAACTATTGGATAGTCCTGGTCTTTTCATATGCCCTTATTATTTTTCTATGAAAAATAGATTTACATTTCTTACTCAGTAATTAATTCAATTTTAGATCACTTACTTTATAAATAAGTTTATTGTATATTTATCAAATGAAAAAAAAGTACAAGATCTAGATGTAAGCCACAGCAATAAGCCTCATGGACACAGTGTAAACCAAACTAATAGTATTTTGTTAAATTAAAAAAAAAAAAAAAAAAAAAAAAATTATAAAGCCACGCAACTATAGCTGAGTGTTATAAAAACAACAATTTGGTGGTCTTAATTTCAAGTGTCTGTCATCTGGTGCTAGGGCCTTGTCGTGGCTTGGCAGCTTGCGTACCCTGACGACCCCCAGAGCTATACCAGCGGGAGTGTTAACTCCTGGCAGGTTCAACCAAGCTGGGAAGGTCTGCGCGGGTAGGGGTCAGACGAAAGCTAGCACCCTGGTCCTCCAGGTTGGGGGTTGAGCATAAGGTCAGCAACCTTATCTCGTAAAACAAATTACCCGCTACAGAAACGCAGACAGAGAGAAACAAAGACAGCTCGGACCAGGGGAAAAATGGATCTCCCGATGGAGAATTTATGAAGCCGGGTGGTGAAAGCCAATATGTATTGGAAACCACCAGGTCGACCACCATTACGTGACCTGGAAGAAGACACCAAGAAGATTGGATACACCTGGGGACAGTTGGAGAGACTAGCCCTGGACAGAGACGTCTGGAAAGCTCTTGTCAGCGGCCTATGTCCCAGTAGGGACGACAGGCAAACATGACATGATGATGATGAATTTCAAGTGTCAGATTATAGTAAACTCTATAACATTTTAGGCCATCTTTGGCGTAGCTCATCTTTTTATTTCTTCAAAGAAAGTCTAAACTTCTATACTAGGAATAGAGATATGTGGGTTTCATAAGACTGTGTGTCATATATTATCTCTATTCTATTCATCCATGTGTGAATTTATTTACTACTAACTGATAAATATTATTTACATTCACAGCTCCTGTTCCCTTTGCAGCCATACAATCTGCAGTGCCACATGCAGTGCACCCAACTACACCTCCTGCTTCGACCTCGAGTGATAGGCAGCCACGTGAAGTTGTGACACATTTTCGAGAATGGGATTACGTGTTCGAAATGCCCTCAGGTGATAAAGGAAAGGAAAAGGCCATCTCCACAACAGCGGCGAGAATTCGTTAGGATTGTGGTTGAGAGGATAGTGTTCAGTGGATTTCTTAACCCCACTCGCACCAGTGGATTTCTTAACCCCACTCGCACCAGTGGATTTCTTAACCCCACTCGCACACAAATAAGTGAGGTGTCAAGTAACATTGTGATGATGCACCCAGAGTCCTTCTGCGATATGGGTGATGCAGATGTTCCACGAGGCAGTGGTTACTATTCACTTGTCCACCAGCTTAAATCAAGAGTCTTCAGAAAAACAGTCTTCAGAAAAAGTGCCGTTTCTCCCAGTGTACACACTTTAATAAAGATGGTAACAGATTTTGAGTGGGGACTTTAGATTCATTGTTTGGAATTAATGGTCTATTATCATTATGATTGAAGAGTACCGTTTTTTGTGTAAATATGTTTACTTTTTTGTACTAATTGACAAACACTGATATAACTTATTTGACATTTCTGATTTAAAAGAAACTTTCTTTGCTAACTTTTGAAATAAGTATTTTAAATATGATCTATCAAATTTTGTGTGTCTTGTTTATGATATATGCCTATATTATGAGTAAATTAATTATTCCTCTAATAAGTTCTCAGTTGTATAAATTTTTGCCCTATTATTCTTATTTTGTAACAAAAATTAAAAAATCTCATCATAGGCATTAGGTAATTATTGTCTGTAACATGATGTTTGTGCATTTTATTGAAGGGTACTACTTTCTTTCTGGTTAATTTTTAAATACTGACAAATGTAATGTGTATTGTTTTACTCTTAGCAGGAGTTCAAACTAATGATATATATATATACAAAAATACATGTTTAAAAAGAAAGTTTATAATCAAGTCAGTTTCTTTAAAGATGCATTGATTTAGTGCTGTTGATTTCTTTCATTTATTAGTAAATATGTAAGAACTTGGTGGGTTTTTTATCTGTCTTTATTGATTTTTTAAAATTGAATAAGTAACTGCAAGTTTTTTTAATACAGATATAACTTTATTTGACATTTATTTATTTCTGAATGAAAAGTAACTTTACTTGCTTTTTTTATTTAATAAAGTAGGGCCTTTTTTAGATTTGATCTGTCACTTTTAAAAAATGTTCATGTCTTATTTGTTATATAATGAGTAAATTGATCACTTTCTCTTTTTTTGAAAGTTTTATAGACTTTTCTTATTTCCCAAATGTTGTAACAAAATTTATATAACTTTTTCGTCAATGGCATTGGTTAATTATATATTACCAAGTATTGCATAACTTCTGTAGAATATTGATCATGAGGTTATTTTTTAGGACTTGTTCCACATATACCTTACTCCCCTTTTTTATGTTTTTCATTTGAAGTTAACTGATTTTGTTGCTAGTTCCTAGGCTAAGTCAACTATTTGCACCATTTTATGACATATTTTTATTATTATTGCTTTAGATCTATTGATATTAAAAAATGGTTTTGTTCATACATCTCTTACTTGGTTCTTTTTTATATTTTATATTGTCTTGCTGTGTTTATTAGTTGTTTCTACAATAGGTGAATGAACCATTGGCTTGTTGTCTTTACTAAATGTTGATATATTAATAGCATAATTTAAAAATAAATTCATTTAATGAGACTTATTTTTATAAATCTGTACATTTTCATGCTAGAAAGTGTCTTTACAAATAATAGTAATTTAACAGAGTCTTGCTGAAAATAGGCTTCAATTGTAAAAACTTGTACCGTTTTGGGTTAACGGTATTTAAAAAACTCGTTTGAATGTCATATGTTGTATATTATAAGACGGTAACAAATTTTCGTTACAGTCTATTATTGTAAAATTTAGGTAAGATACCATAAATAAACTGAACTTATTCGGTTTCACGGTAACCTTTCTTAATGTCTGCTAAATACCCGTAAATTTAAGGTAAGCT